GGGCCCCGCCGCCCTCCGCCCGGGCAGGCCCGCACGCCAGGCGCCCTCCATTTACCTTCATGTGCTTTCGGAGGGAGCTGGGGTGCGTGTAGGACTTGTCGCACATTTTGCAGAGATAGGGCTTGTCGGAAGTGTGCACATGCATGTGCTTTTTGCGGTCGCTGCTGTTTGCAAAGCGCCTGTCACAGCCCTCGAACTCACACTTAAATGGTTTTTCACCTATTGCAGAGGGAAGGGGGAGGGGGGGGAAAGGGATCTGATTAAGCAGGGCCCGGCTGGATCCCTCATTGTCACCGCACCGCCGGACGGAGCTCAGGGCTCCATTTCAAACACTTGCAACTTTCTAACTTCAGCGAGCCTCAAATCCCAAAGCCTTGCTTCTAGTCTCTATCCATTCCGGACCTCCGACTCCCACCAAGTGCCCGTTTCGGAGAGCGGGGGAGCTAAATAACTTTTTTTTTTTTTTTTTTCCCCCTTCCTTTTGGAGGGGCGAATTTCCTTTCGACCCCAGTCCCGGGCACCTCTCCCTCCTCACAACGCTCCGAGCGAGAGAGCAGGCGTGCTGCGATATTACACACGATCCTCAGCGTCTGCTTTCCCATTTTATAGCTCGTTCTCGTAAGATTTTACTCTCTCACCCACCCCAGCCCCCTCCCCCATATTTTCTTGCAATATTGAAAATTATCCGGCCCGGGAAATCAACGAGAGGGCAGCTCCACAAAGCCTCAGCAAAAGTGCTGGGGAAAGCGGCTCTGGCTTTCAGCGCTCGGGGGTGAGAGCGAGGGGAGATCGCTCTCCCGGCCAGAGGCTGCTGCATCCCCACCTCCCACGGAGGAAAAAGTTCTCAGGAATACCGGCGCCTCCCCTCCGCACAACAATAACACACTAACGCGCCGGGCTCGGTTTGTTTAATATCGCTCAACGGAATTAAATATTTACCAAGCCCTGAATTGCAGAGAGGAGACGAATGAGCTGCCCGCAACACTTAGCACAATTTCTCATCGTGCCACAGCCAAAACTGCCGAACAATAATTAATTAAAACCTATAAATTTCAACAGGACAGGTTGCTGCGATCCCCCACCCCACCCCCTCCGCCCTAACAATCCCGGCAGCAAACCCCGCCGTCCTCCCCCTCTGCCTCGGCAGGGATCATTTTCTTTTTGTTGCTGCTGCTGGCGTGGCTGTGACCGAGCTCGTTTTGCAGCGGAG